GTGCAGCACTCCGTGTCTACATGCCAGTTCACCTCCAGAGGCGAGCAAACGGAGTTGTTGAAGGACGTGCCAGTGGTGGAGCCGATGTAGCGGACTCCTCGTGTCTCCGGTGGCTGGCGCCACTTCTGAAGGAAGTTATCATAGTCTGCGTCCACGAGCGCTGAGTCCAGGCTGCCCAGGCTCTTGTTGTAGATGATCCGGCAGACTTGCCCACGGACGATGATCTTAGGGTTGTTGGTGCGGGCAAGGGCACCCCCCAGACCGTCCGTGATACCCAGCTGACCCTCGTCCCCTTCGTCACGGAGACCGATGAGCGGCGCACCAGTGGAGTACACCCAGTGGAACTCGTAGGTGTAGTTCACACTGACGCCCTTGCAATGCGTGAAGGGGTAGTAGTCCCGATCGTCGCTGCTCACATCATCCAGGCCGCAGAAGTAGCCTTCACGAATGTCAGGGGACGACTGCGGGCGCACAAGAGGAGTTGAGAGCCCAACGTCCTCGGCGCTCTGGAAGTAGCCGTTGGTGATGTTGGATCTGTGCTCGGCGCCGAGGTGGAAGTGCAGGTTCGCCTGGATGAAACGTGGAGTAGCGTCGCCGTCCAAGGGACGTATCCGGGGCTCCAGGCCACCCACGAAGCCAGGAGTAAGATCTCGTGGTGACTGTGGCTCTGCATCCTCACAGAAAAGCGGGGGGGGCGGCGGCCCTGGTGCCGGCTCGGTCGTTGTCCCTGTTGTGGAACCTCCACTGTAGTAACTGTAGTAGCCCCGCCGCCCGTGCCACCACCCTTGCTTCCACCGCCACTGCTTCCTCCAAGGTCCATCGATCCGATCTGCCTCCTCTGCCGAGGACCTTCCAGGCAAACTCGATGTGCGTGCTGCGACGACACAGTATGTCAGTATGTGAGCTGCCAGCTACATGCACACCAGAAGCCGTGTGCACGAGGAAAGGCCTTGCGGGCGCATCTTGCATCAGGGAGGCATCCTCAACTTCCAACGGACAGGCTTCCTGCCGGCAGTCCTGAGACGCAGCAGTTCTCCTTCTGCAAAGCCGGACCCCCTTTCAGGCTGCCTTGAGGCTCCGGCTTGAGACAGCGCAGCCGCAGCTGAGACGACCACGACCAGGCGCTTCATCATAGCCATGGGCATCACGAGCACACTGGACAATCTATGGACACTCTGAACTCTGCCGAAACCCGCCGGTGCAACGCGATGCACTCCTGATGTCGCTCCCACACTTCGCACGGGTGCTGGCGGAATCATTTCAAGCCTTTTCGCCTGGTCTTGTGTGAGCGCGGGCTATGCGATTCCACAACAGGACGGACTAGGAGACGGGCGGGTTGCACCTCACCTCCGTCTTGCAATTCTCTACCTCTGCTTGACAAGACAACGAGAAAGGGTTGAAGCTAAACGAGTCTTGGCGGTCCGGGGCCACAGGCAAACCCTGCGGAGCAGGACTCGCAGCAAGCCCGGCTGGACTTGGGTCCAC